TCTCAGGAGACCCTCGGTTACCTTTCGTCCCCAGCACCTGGGGTTTCCAGAATTTTGTGGTTCTGCTTTGGCTTCTGGTGCCACAAAAATCAGAACCGCTCTGCTTCAAGCAGAATCAAGCTTCGATTGAAAGTTGGACCGAGGCCTGCCGAGAAAGAGGAGAAGGAACGGGGAGAGAAGCAGTTCCGGGCCTTCTTGGATCTTCTCGATGAGAAGATCAAGAAAGGCCTCCCGTTGTCGTCCAAGCTGCCCGCGATGGAGCCTGATGCCTGGGAGGCCAGATCCTGAAAGTGTTTTCTCTCTTGCGGCGAAGCCGCAGTGTCCCTTGCAGGCTCTGCTTGATGGGCATCGAGCAGAAGCTGCAGCAGCGGGCTTGGTGATCCGGCCTCGGCACTTAGTCAGGCCCTCCGTTTTGGAGGAGGTTCCGAGGGACGCTCTGGAAGATGCAGCTGCCCATGAGTCGAGCACCGCCGACGGGTACTCGCCAAGCCGGGCCTTCTACGTTAGGACAATGGACGGTGCTCGGGGAGTGCTGTCTGTCAATGACGTAAGGGCCCCAGTTTTGCAGCTCAAACTCTGCTTGGGATGGTCCATATCTTGTGTTGCACTTCTGTAGCCTGCAGCAGAGGTGCCAGATGCCGTCGAGCGAACCTCTGGCTACAGACTCTTGCTGAAAACAGAGGAGGTATGGCCGATTCTGAATCGAAATCAGTCGTTTGCGAACTGGTTTTGCAAACTGAGTTTCGGCTGCAGATATATCTTTCGTGGATGTGTCTGGCTTTGCACGAGGCAGCGGCCATCCTTTAGATACTGAAAATCTCAGGAAAGACAACGTCACTCACAAGTTGAGCGAGTCCTGGGCTGTGAACTACACCAAGCACCTCATTCGGCCGAAGTTCTACAAGGGAACGAGACTGGAGGGGGAAACTTGCACCCTGAAGCTTTCCTACAATGGCATGTCTTTTCCGGGCTTTTTCTTCACAGATGCTGGGCAGCAGAAGTCAGTGCAGTTGCCATTGCCATGTTGTGTCTTGGAGCACAGAATCTTCTTTTGGAGCTGAGCTGCCAGGTTGCATCCGCTTTGCAAATTCGGTCGTGCCGCCCAGAGCACCAGAGAGCCTGCCTGAAAGCTTTCGAGCTGTTTCTGGCAAGCTTCTGCCCGCCGAACATGCAGATCTTCTTGCTGCCGGGGGTACAAGCTAGTGCCTCGCACCCGATAGTGCCCCAAAGTCGCAGTGTTCTTTATGCTTGTTCCTGTTTCTCCTAGGTGTGATTAAGTTCCACGGCCACGACGTGGACTTGGAGCAATGGTCTCGACTCCTGGAGTTCTTTGGGTGGAAAGAAAAGCGCGGGTTGCCGAAATATTGCCTTTGCTATGCCGGGCCTAAAACACTGCAACAGGTGGCAGAAGTGCAAGCTGCTTACTCTGGCCGTGCAGAGGCTGAATGCAGGTCGGGTGTCCGTCCTTTTGGAGTGTGCAAGCTTCCTAGTGTCTTTCAGGAGTGAAGGGGGCCGTGGCGGTCTGGTTTGTGCTGCGGATCCCGTTCCAGGATTTGGCTTGCGAGGACGGGCAGCTGAATGAACCG